AGCTCCTCGAAGGTATACACTGACTCTTGTAGCTCTCAGTCCTCCCCACACGTTCATGCTTGGGTGTTCCGACTAGTCGACTGGTGGATCATTGCAGAGGTGACAGCCAGTAGACTGTGTTATACCTTTGGAGTCGTCTTCTTTTTCCTCTTTCACCCCCTATTACTGGTACTAATTGTCCAGCGGAAAAGATTCAAACACAGTTTGCAGAACTTCTGGTCAAGATGGTGGTAAATGCTGTGCTCGCCTCTCTCACAACCACATCAAAGTTACAACTAAACTACAGAGTAACTGCCATTGAGAATCCCCTGATGTCTCGCTGAACAGCATCCTACAACTAAGGACACACAGAAGAGGCCCCTCGAGACTGGTAGGAGGGCAGAGACGCAGACAGGGCACCCACACTGCATGTGGCAGTTAGAAACCAGAGGGCTAGCTCGGCTGCAGAGGTCCCCCTTAGGAGTGAGGGGTCCCAGCTCCACACTGGGCTCCCCAGCCCAGGATTCCGGTGCCAGGAGGAGAAGTCCCCACAACTTCTAGCTGTGAAAGCCAGTGGGGATGGAGGCCGAATGACATGGAGGGCTGGGGGAGGCACAGTCTTTCCTCTTAAGGGGCCCCCAGGACTTACCACCGACGGACTAGCTCTCTCAGAGCTCCAGCGCGGACACAGCTGGAAAGGCACCAGGGACACTTGGGGAGGGACTGGGGCAAGGGCTGGGGGGCAGCGTCTTTCCAGACAAGTCTGGCGGAGGCTGCTGTCCCTTTGTTGAGCCCTTCCCACCAGCATGCAGATGTAGGCAGCCACCATAGCTGAGTCTCCATCAACCTGGCTGACACTGAGTGTTGGCTCCGCCCAGGTGATTCTCTGAGACCCCGCCCCTCTCAACATGCAGGCCACCCAAGCTGCTTCCAGTGGCTTTTCCATATAAACAGCCAGTCTTGGCTCAAGTGCTTTGCACTTTCCTAAAACCTCTCAAAGGTTCACAAAACTCAAAGCAGCAGCATCTGGCCCCGGTGTGCCTGTACCTTTTGCTGAGTAGCCCCAAGCTCAGCACTAGCGGCGTCTGCCTCGGTTCACAGCTGAGCCTTTCCCAGGTGCCTCCAATCTCAGCACAGGGGGCAATCATCCTCTGATCATTCTGTAGCTCATATCAAGTGGCCCCGGGCAGGGCACAGGCAGCAGCTGAACATGGCCTACAACAGAGCCCCTCCCAAGAGGCCCCAGAACCAACGCACCCAGTGGCCAGCTTCAGATCACACGAGCGTGCCACCCAACCACCTCCACTGATGGCCGATTTGTCAATTATCCTATAACTCGGCCACTCAGCTTAATTCTAGGTCATCAATGAAAACTAAAGCATGCACATGTCAAAATCAGACAGAGAATGTATGGAACATGACAATTTGGCTACTTGTGGACATAATGTGCCTTAGCGTGAGATTCTCTTTCTCAGGTAGCTAGCATTATTCTTAAGTTATCTTTTTGTATGTTTGATTTTTCTGGCCTCTTCCTATCTGACTTAAAAAAATATATGGGGGAATATTAAAATAAAAAAAATAATCCATAGATTACAAAACATACTGGGAAACATCCATCATTTGATTTAGAAATAGTGCACAGTTCACAGAGTACCGCAGTTCAGGAGGCAAAAATTGATATGTGCTGAAATCAGAAATGATTCTTTTAGAAACGAAGCTGACCAAGAATTCCAGCAGGACTTCTGCCCGAAGGAAAACGTGCTGGCTGCAGCCGCGGCCGCCCTGGGGTGAGCCCCGTGGGTCCACACGGACATGGAGCGGAGCGTTTCTCACGCCGCGGTGTTTTCTTCCTTTTGTGTCCCGAATTCTAAAAAAAGAGGAAAACTACGACTTTTGAAAAGTATAAATAATGTCTTCGGTACATTTTGAGGAGTCCCAAGTTCTAAACGTTAATCATCTTGAAAGTCTCGTCTTCCTTTTTAGAAGCGCTTCCTTGGTTAAAATCTGGTTGCTTATTTTGGACAGCACGATTCATCTTCCTCACTGCCTTCGGTGCTGGAAATTCAAAATCGAAGATGCACCTATGTCCTCTCCCAGATCTCGTCCACCCCCTGCCTTGAGGACAGGAACGGCATCCACTCAGTTTTGACAAGGCAGAAATTCGGGCCTCATGCTGAAGGCCAGTCCCGTCCCCCGCCCCCGCCAGCGCTGCGCTCACCTCCGGAACAGCCCTATCTGTCCAGTTTCCTGTGTTTCTAGGACGGTCACTCTGACCCAGAGTCCTGGCGCCTCTCGCCTGCGTTGCTGCAGGACGTGCCCAGCTGTCCTGCCTGCCATTCCCTTCTTCCTGCCCCCAATACCCACGACAGGAAGGCGCCGGCCAATGCAGACGCGGTCGCGCGCCTCCTGCGACCCGCATTCCCGTCACTCTCCGGTAAACGCAAAGAGCGGTCCTGGCGCGCAGGGCCCTGCACAGCCCCGCGTGCCGCCCCAGCCTCACCGCACACCAACCTTCTCCCGCTCCCCCAGGGCAGCCTACCTGGCTCCCCTCGTCCTCGCCATGTCCCCCTCCGCCGCTGGGGCTTCGCCGAGCAGTGGCCTCTGTCAGAGCGGGGTTCAGGCGCCACGCCCTCAGCCCCCGCCCCTGGCTGGGATTCGCAGGGCCGCGAACCTTCTCTCTCTGGCAGCGCTGGGACGGGAGGCAGAGGTTTATGATGCTGTGCGTCAGGAACTGGGCCTTCAAGTGAGAAACAAACGCAAAGAAGTGTGTTTATTTAGCATCCAACCTCTCAGATTCAAAGCAACGTTTCTAAACCACAAGGAATGTACACTTAAGGGTCCCCAAAGAGCCGGGGATTTTTCAGTAAGTGCGCGTCAGGTGTTCTCCAGCGGCAGACACCCCGGTTCATCTAGGCTGCTGCTGATGTGCGATATGGGACCTGGGGCGTTTTAACAGCTGTTCCAAGCAGCCCCTCCAGACAGATGAGAGAAGTGGCTCTCAGAGGCGTCACAAATAGTGACAACGGAGTGGAGTTGGTGGGCAGACCTCGCGGAGCACTGCGCTCCGTTTTACCGTTTCTAGGTTCTCTTTTCATTTGTCCATGCCGTCTCTGCTTAAAACACTTACAGAAACAGAGCAATTAAAGCCCGATTTCGTTTGCTGCGTCCCGGGGACCGCCTTCTGCCCAGTGACACCGCACCAGTCAGCCGCGTCTGTGAGCCCCTACGCGACGGGGCGCGTGCCATCGAAACCGTGTCTCAGCGCCGCCTCGTCTCTGTGCGGGCTCATGCTCCTTTCCACTCTGGCTACGTGAGGTCCTGAAGAAGGGGCGTAGGAATGAGAACCCCGTCTCGCTCTCGTTAAGCTCTTGGGGAGCGAGGACTGTCCTCGGCCGCAGCCCGAGCAATCGTGGGGGCTCACGCTAAGCCTCCTGGGGCTCTGGTCTCCGCACCGACTCCCGTCCCGCCCCCGTCTGCAGGCGGGCGCGTGGGAATGGAGCCGCACCGCCAGCGGCCTCTGGCTGGCTCTGGCCCACTAATTAGCTCTCCGAGCAGCCCTTGCAGCTCCGTTCCTTTCATAGGAAGGCAAGCTAATGGCCAGCTCATACCCCAAACACTGACTTAGAAACACTTGAGCTTAAAAGGACATTGAAAACCATTTAGTTCAACAATCCACCCATGTAGGAGCAGCCTGAGGGAAGAGAGACTAAATTCATACTTGTGCTAAATGCCTCCAGCGCCCAGTTCCTGACGACCTCGCTCCCGTGGATGCTCTTTCGATAACAAGAATATGGTGTTCAAGAACTCGGTGGCGTCCTTCATCAACACAGACGTGATCGTCTTAATGGAACAGGCCTGTAGCATCCTACAACTTTGACAGTTCCGTGCAAAGCGTGTATGTGTCAAACACAGAGCATATGACGTATACCATCTGAGTCAGAATGAAAAATGCAAAATTTAGATTGTACAGTTAGTTGATCTTTCATTTTCTGTTCCTGTTACGTCATAGAATAACAAAAAAGTAGGAAAAAAATGCTTGCTTTCTCTTTCAGATCTAAAAACCGACTTCTTAAACTGAGGTCATGGGGCAGCAGAGCACGTGTCACCCCAGGACCAACGTGATAATGGCCGGCTTCGATGCTCTCAGTGGTCACTCGTTTGCTGGACGAGCCAGGAGATGGGGCCCGGCCGGTGCCCAGCTGTCACATTGTCTCTCTGGCTCTCTTGCTTTGGTAATGAGACCCCAGGTGCCCTGCAAGGTGTCTGGCAAACTCAGAAAGAGAATGACTTCTTTAAAAAAGGGAGGACAGACAAAAAGATTTGTTAATCACGTAACTTTTCGGCATTTGTCAGGCATTTTTGTACGGTCAGTAGGTTATTTTGTCCGTGAACTTGACTGTAATTGCACATTCGGATATACTCGTGTTTACATAAGAACCTCTCAACTGCGCGGATATCGAATTGCGATAGAAGTAGGTCCACCCAGCCATGCGATAAATCTAGGAAACTGGGTTTTGTGAGATAGCACTTCTTTCTATTTTCTTTGGCAGCATACTTGGCGGTGAAGAGCGTTAAATGTGGCACCTGTCACTGCCTATCTCGGTCCAACTTATACGATACTCCAGGCCACGCGGGAGGCTGCAGGGGGCCGAGCTCGCCGGTGCGCTCTGTCCGGGCGGTGCATGGTGGCCGGACGCTTCCTGCAGCCTCCAGAGGGCACGGGCTGTGGCGCCGACGTGACATGTGCAGAAGACATCGTCAGGGGGTGACGCTCTCCGCCGACGTAGCGCCAGCGACTTCGCTGTGGGTGACCGCGTTTTGCACCGGGACCCTCCGCCTGTGCTCTCCGATGCCCCGAGGAGCTGCGGGCGGGGACGGGCCCCGGTCGCTTTACACAGCCCCTGACGGCGTCCCGGCGCTGTCGTGCGTTTCCGCGTGCTTGCCTTATTCGCCCTGTCTGCGTGAGTCTTACGGATAATTGACGAGGCTTCGGTTAATCATCTTTCTCCTTCTTTGCTCAGCAGGTGCTCGGCTCGAAGGGCCTCTTTCGCTGAGGATCGATGTCTTCTTCCAGGTAACCCAGCACCCAGGACCCGGAACGCGGGACTCATCGCTGGCCGGGGCGTCACCATGAACGACCACGGCGCTGTCGCGGAGCTACTGCAGGAGTGCCAGCGCGCGCTGGACCAGCTGGCCCTGCAGGCGCCGGGCCCCGAGGGGCGGGCGGACGCGCA